TTAAGCATATGATTAATGTTTTCAATTGAACTTTTGAACTTTGTTCAAAATAAAGGCTTGAGTTCAGAAAAACACATACATCAGGCCATACTCATACTCAGTTTGTAGACCTCTTAATCCTACTGCTTCCATGCTACTGCCATGCTTCCACCATCAATGTGTGTGCCTCATTAATTTCACAGATACATGCTATTTTACCGAGAAAATGTTCCATGATGGAATAAAGTGAAGTTACTGTGAACTAAATCTTGTAAGATCTTTTGCGCATTCTTAAGATAAATTTAAAACTAACTTTTTGTTACCTCCTGCTTGGCAATCTTATCTCAGTTGCCTGTCATTCCTGTCTGATAAAGTTCATATTGTTTCTTCTCTGTCAAGTGCTAGCTTCAAGGTAAGAAGCATAAATGTGCAATTGCTGCAGTGTCTCCCAAGGAAATGATGGAATAGGAAAGGGAAAAGAAGCATCATTGCACTCACTATATAAAAATCTGCGACAGAGAAAGCAATGGGCAAGACTGACAAATATTGAGTCAGGAGGATAAATCCCCGAAGACTCTATTAAGCTATATCCCAGAAGATGCTAACTGCAATGTTTTGGGTTTTTTTATTACTCTTTTGTTATGAAGACCTATACAGAAAAAACTATGATAATTAAAATAATTAAATACCCATAAAACTTAGAATATCTGTAGAAAAAGTAAGGAGTTCATTTTATAGTTAAACCTTTCAAGCAATTTGGAGCATTTAATCCGTTTTATAACTTAGAAAAAAAGCTCTTTTCTAATATTTGAAATTACTAAACAGTAAGGTAAGAAGATCCGCTTAGAAATTTTTATTAAGCAGTGTATCTATCTTAATACTTAATACTATACCTATGCTCATTTTCTTCCAAAAGTGACACATACCAGGTTCGCAACATCCTTGGCTCTAAGCTAGGGCTTTTTTCTTTTTTTTTTTTTTTTTTTTCTAATTTTGGCAGCACTAAAATAGAATATTGTGGCACTGGCATAATTTTCAATTGAACCAGGTTTGAAAAAGACCTTGGGTAAAATCTCATCCCATCTAAAGCCATTTTAAATTTTGCCTTCAAGTCCCTTGAAAATTGCACTAATTAGGGATGTAATGGCAACAGGTGGACCTTTATAGACTGCACAATTTTGGAGTATTTTCTTAGACTCTTCCAGAGACCAATTTTTTTTAAAGTTACATGACTATTGGATACTGTAATCATAAAAATTTTTAACAAGATTGATGCTAATTAACAGAAGCCAGTATTAATTACCACAGAAATTAATAGAGTTTAAATGTTCATGGAAAGACCAGTAGTTCACAGCTGAATTGGAAGAGCACAACTGAAAATTCCTGTTTGGAGCATGAGTAAGAAAAGGTAGAAGCAGCAGCTTGTTCTCTTTCTAATCATCTTTGGCCTGCCATCCACACTGGCTACAAAAAGAGGTAAATCTCTTTTCTACCTCATCAATTTATAGATGAATTAGTGTTCCCAAGTCTAGGTTCAATTCAGTATTCAGGTATCAGCACATGAACTTCAGTTTCAGTATTGCTTAGACTAAACTTTGGGTTTAACGTAATCCCTCTGAGTTTTGAGACTATTGCTAAAACTGATGAATTTTTAACACAGAAGCTGCTCAAGTGACTCAAGTTGGAGAGGAACACATCTTCAGAAATGAATGGTCTTTATGGATTCATTACGTCACCAATTTTAGTATGATATTAAGTCACTTTCAACAGTGTGTTCCTATATTAGGCATTTTTGTTGCATGCCAATATACAAGTCAATTTATGCTTTGCAATTTTAAAGGGATGTATTTCATCTCATATGTAATCTTTCCATGGTTTCTAGGGAGCTAGAGAAATGAAAATTAGCAGTATCGCTCTCATTATTCTACAACCACCGGAGGACACTAGTTCTAATTTACTGAATACGAAGAAAAAAAAAATGCATACCTGAAGTCTGTCTTTTGATGAAAATTTGAAATGAAGTCAACACGATCAGCCAGCATACTGATTTTTTTTAATCTCTTCTGTATTAGTCAGAGTATAATTTTCTATATCTCCGCATTAAAACTGTAACTATCTTGTTGCATAATAATGCAAGTTTTATCTCACACTGTACAATGACTGACAGTCTAACCAAAAACATTTTGCCTGCAGTCACCATCTTCCAGCCTATCTTCAGTTAGCAACATGATATTCAGTTAGCAACGCTGCCTTTCAAGGATGATGATGTCAAGACATTTTAGTTTTGTTTGTATTCCTGCCTCTTTGTTATCTTATTGCTCTTTGGTAGGTACTGGCCACAAAGATGATTCTACAACTGAGTCACACCACCTTTGTGTCAGATGTGGACATATTAGATCATGACAGAAGAGATTTTGACATTATCCTTATAAAAATGTAAATTTTTAATACGTAATATTGGAGCCATGGACTCACATTACACAACTGTAAGATACCTGTGGGAACATAGAGGAAGCAAGCCATGTTCTTACCACACACATTTGTGGGATTTGAACCATCACATGATTTTTTTTCAGCCATCTTGTGTGTGGGAAAGTAAAATAATTCAGATTTTCTGCTTAGGACTAGTATGCTTTTTGTCAAAATATCCAGGCATTTCTTTGGCAGATTTATTCAGAGAAACCCTCTCTGGCCCCTCAAAGATATTAGTGACAGGATATACATACCTCTTTAGGTATCGAAGTTTGAACTCACCACCCTAGGATCCCTTACCAGTCAAAGGAAAGAAAGACATGTCCTGAGGGAAATAATCTCATCATAAAATAGATGTTGAAAGTAAAGCATAGGGATCACTCTTTGGACATGCTGCTTTAAGACATCTAAAGTTAGGCAACATAAATCGCACTCAAATCTACAGAGTCCATTTGACATATGGGTAAAGGAAACGTTTTCAGAAAAAAGTTAGGTTTTATAGTCTGTCTTATTTTCATCTGCTTCCTTCTTTTTCAATAGATACATGTGAGAAAGATAATGTAAATTAACATTTCTATGAACTGCACAGTATTTAAATGAAACCAATTATTTTCCATAACCCCTAGATAGAGATAAGAAGTTAACTGAAACTAAAAATTAGTCAATTTGTTGAAAAGTTAAATAAAGTCCTATATTCTCTTTGTTTCTTTGGTACTGGATGCCACATTAAGGGAGAATGTGTGTGAGTAAATGCCTCTCTCAGAGCAAAAATACTAACATCAACAATATGTATATGTCAATAACCATCTCGTAAAGTAAGAAAATATAGGGACCTCTAATCACATCTAATCATTGTTCTGAGCAACAGTTCGGGTTTTTTCCCCTGTGTGTTTCTAACGTTGTTTATATTCACTTATCACATATGCTGTCAAATAACTAATTCTTTCTGGCAACTGACACTTTAAAAGAAAAGTATATTACAGAAAAGTCACTTTCATTGGTTTCCATAAATTCACATGGACTGTGAACAATTAGGAAAGTTCTAAAAATAGATTCATGGAAAATTGTCATAAGCCCAAAATCCCACAGTTACTTTACAGGATATCTTTGGGATAAAGTGAACATAAATATTGGCCCAATAGTTGTATAATTTACTATTTCCATTGTATAAAACATCAGATACATTGATTCTGTACTTTATGGAAACTAATGTAGAATTATAAACTGTACTCATTTTTGAAAAACTGAAAATATATTATTAAATAATAGTGCATTACGAAACTTCAAGTTGCACTAAGCAACCATAATTATAGTCTCACCATAACTACATAAAACCTTATCAGATAAAATCTAGGTGCATCTATCTGTTGTCATAAGTAGACAAATACACTACTTTAGGTAGCAAGAATCATTAACAGCCCAAACTAAAGATGTCAAGAGGAAAAATTAGCATCTGCAGGATGCCTAGTGAGACAAGAAAGGTTCTATATAGCAACAGCATTGGAAGGATGGATGAATAAATAGCCATAAAATCAGCTTCTACTGCATGGAAACTTGCAGATGGTGGATGAATTCATGTCTGTCACATTTTTATAATACAATGACTTTTACATATTGCTGCCAGATGGAACATAGTTCTGCATCTTGAATATAAATCTCCAAGAAATACAACTTCCTTCAATGTGTTCCCTGTATTTGAAACAAAAGCAAATTTAGAGGCAGGTTTGGAAGGCTAAGGCAGATTGAAGGAAATCTGAGAGAATATAAATTAAATCCTCAAGGGCTTCCTTGCTATAACTCAATTCAAAACAATGGAATTACCCATGTGTACCTGTACATTTTGAGGAAAAACAGGAAAGGTATCACACAGACTTCCACAGGAACTATGTGTCATCTATCAAATGCAAAATTCACCCCAGGCAGGTCGAGAAGACTTACTAGTCAAACTCACTAGTAGTTAGGCAAAACCTTTGCATAACATTTTTTCTTGCTTCAATAAAAATAGATACCTATCCCACAAGATCAGATCATAGAAGTACAGTGCATGAAGCATAAATGGATTTAATCTTGGTTGATAACAAACATCTGTATCTATATCACAGAAGCACCTTGCCATTCTCCTTGTGTTAAATGATACCTAAACAAACCTAATATCTAATTCAGAGCCAAGTATACCAATCTTTATACAGATGCGCTTTCTCAAACTACCAAGAAAGTACAGAATGTTTTGCTTTTAAATCTGCTTACCCATCACACCTGGCTTTCTCCTGTGTGTCTGGTCTTTCTTTCTAATGCTAGCTGGTATTGCTAAGAAGCGAATAACTCTGATAGCGATGGAGTGAACTGTATGACTGTAGGGGAGAATATTTTCCCATTCAATGATTTCTCACAAAGTCTGATTTGATGACAAACTTGAGTTGACTTCTCTTAGACAGCCTCAAGCATTGTTTATATGCAGATAATTCTGTGTGTGAACCCATTAGGCTTTTATGACAGTTATAATCAAATATGATTGGGAAACCTTCTGGCTTACTTGGATCCATACTTACATTGTGCTTTGTGAGGTTGGAAATGTTACTTGCTATTGCTTGTAGCCAGTCGATACAGTCTTCAGCAGAGAGACACTGAATTATTCCACTGCAAACCCCATCCACAGCAATTACTTGGAACGCATTTTGCCTATAGACATGTCATAACAGATCAGGTCAGAAGAAAATTTCATCTGTTCTAGCATATCATCTTAACAATACTTGTAGAAATGCTTTCCTTTCAACTACAATGAAGGTCAGCCACTGAACACTGATAAATCGCTGGTTTTCCTGTTTTATAAATACCTGACATATTAAAAAGATCATGTTAAAAGGTCAACTCAGACTATATTAAGTTTCCATAAAGCTATAAAAAAATTCCACAGGCTAGCTCCACAGAGCATTGACCAACAGTGTGTGACTTCAAAAGCTAAACAAGTGCAATAGCTGATACATACCAAAGAATTAATACTTTAATACTGCAGATCACAGAGAAGAAAAGTGTGCATTGGACACTGTAGGCAATCATTGCAGAAATCATTGCAGTAGTTTTTTCTCAAAAACTTTTGTTTCATTTTTTTAATGCATTGTTTAAATATAGTAAGATTTCTGTCTGGATACTCCCTGTTGGCTGCTCTTGGTTACACACTTTTGATCATCTTCTAAACTACTGATAGAAAAGCTGGAGAATTCAAAATCGATTAGGTAGCATTAATGATTTTTCCAATTGCATTTCTGAGTATAAGATCATTAGCAAAATGCACTGGAATGCCAAGAGACATCCAATGACAAAAGCAGCGGCCACCTGGGTGCCTCTGTCCCAGCACCAATCTGGGCACCTCCACAATAATCTGTCATGCAGTATAGACTGACTTTCCACAAGTGAGCAATTACAGGACAAGAGAAAACTTTGAGATGCTAAAGCAGTAGCAAACCTAATTTCTTCAGTAAATAGCTTTCCTTTGGGAGGCTCACAGGTCTCTGACTTCACAACCAAAAAGACCTCAATATTAATCCGTATCCCAGAGTAAGAGACTACTAAACATACAGAGAATACCAAGTTCCACTGCTGGCATTCTTCTACAAACCCATCTGTTAATGGTCAATTAGAGGTTTAAGATTATGTACATTATTTACATTCTTTGAGAATGGCTCAGGCAAAGTGAGTGTTACCTTCAGCGTAAAACTGAGTGCCGCTGATAACAGTTTCCGACATCTCAGGACAGACAAACATTCTGCAGAGGTGGTTTTTTTTTTTTAACCTCTTGAAATTATATTCTAGGTGTGGAGAATAAAGGTCTTTCCTGTATCTGTGTCAACTAGAGGCTTTTCTTTCAGTCAGGAGAAGCAATAAAAATGAATTAGAGTCATGCCTTTGCTTTAAGAGTCATATCATAAGAACTAGCTCTTACAGGACATTAAGGCTTATATATCCTAATATGATCATGCAGAGACCAGTGTTTTATCTAAATCCACCAGCTAACTTATCAGTTACTTGTCTTTTCAGACAGGTAGTGATATTTTCTTTAAATCTAAAGGTACAAGCTGAGAGCTACTTCTTTCAATGACTTGTTATCACAATAATTCTGGTAAAGTTTTTGAGAAAGATTTATTTAAAGCATCTTCAGGTAATATATCTAGCATTTGCTTACTATATCCTTTATTTTAAATGTCTATAGATATAAATAGTAAAGTCCTTACATAATGAGCATTGCATGATGCTCAGAAAAAATTGTTGATTATTTGTTTCAAGAAAAATAGCATTATTTTCAGGACTCGCCTTCTTTCTACTCAGCCTACTAAACACCAAAGTAGGAATCCAAGGAATCGAGTAACATGTGACCCTAACCTGCCCAAGCAAAGAAAACCCAGTGTGTTCCAGACTCATTCCTGATGGACAAATTTCCCTTACACTACAAACACAGTCAATCTGATGCACTTAAGGCATCGACTGTTCCTACTCTTTCTAGGTATTTGATCTGTGCACGTAAAAAATCATTCATCCATAATGTTCTTGACCAAGCATTAATAAACACATATGAAGATGTACGGCTACCTTATAAATTACTTCTGAATGTTCCTGGGCAGTATATATCTTTAACCTCTGATTATGATATCTTTAACCTTAGATTATTGCAATTGTATTTTCCTGAATTAGTCTACCAGCCAAAGTCCATACTACCACAGAAAACTGAAAAAAATAATCTATTAAATGTGTTTTGTATTAAATAGAACAAGTATTAGATAAATCACTTTATAATACAGCCCAAAAGTTAAGATCAGATGAATTCTTATTCAACTACATATCTCAGGTTCTGTGCCTTCTTGAACTCAAGAGTTATATTTGAAATTAATAAGCTTCCCACGATTAACCTGAATGCCCCTTTGGAATTTTATATTAATACTCTCTGGAATTGATGTGTCTCAAGCATCCCACTAGGAAAGCTAGAATAGGATTATGAGGTGTAACAGTGTATGTGATAATGATATGATGTATTTCTGTGCTAGTCTATAGTGAAAACGGACTTGTAAATATGAACTACAGAAAGTGTAATGAATTAAATTCCACTTCATCTTGCTTTCTTATATTATTTTCAATATTCTTTCCTTAATGTTGCTCTTTATAGGAATCTCTTTTAAAAATTATCCACCTTTCTCTCACAAAAAAAAAAAAAAAAAGAATATGGGGCCATATTTTTAAATATTTACACTAATTTTAAAAACTCGTATAAACTGTCTTGCAAAAAGGAAAAAAAAAATGTATTTAAAAGGGCCAGAAAAGAATGTCATATTATATTTTTTAAAAAAATATCCCCCTTTCCCCAAAAAAAAAAAAAAAAAAAGAATAGGGAGCCATATTTTGAAATATTTACACTAATTTTAAAGACTCGTATAAACTGTCTTGCTAGCAATGTAAAACGTTGGTTCTATACTTTTTTGAAGAAAACCCCACTTCCTCTCTTGTAATTACACCGTGTTTTTGTTTCCTTTACGTACTCTTACTTCCTCATGTTAGACATCATAGAAGGGCACAAGGAGAAAATTATAAGAGTTTCAAAGTTTGACTATGAATTCAGGGATTTTGTTTTATATGAATATGCTTTTAATATTTTTTTTTTGGAAATTCAAATGTCAGGAGTATCATTACTACCTAAAAAGCTTTTGCTGTAATGTACAAGTTCTATAAGCTTCACTTTAATCTTGTGTTTTATTGATGCAGAAGACTGAATTTTAAAACCCTAGATCTATGAATAGTTGAATATGACCTAATTTTCCATGTGAGTAGTTCTATTCAATTCAATATCTTAACTGAAGTATACAGTAGGACAGATCTCAAATTTGACTGTTATGATTTTGGGCCCTTTATGCTTTATGCTCTTAATTATTTCTATTGCAACCATTGTTAAACATTCAGCTGAAAGTTTTCACAGAATTTAATAAAAAAACTCCTGCCTCTGCGGTGACTGTATCCTGTTCCCTTTCAGTTCAACCAATAAACCATCGTAGCCTTTGGTTTACACCTTGACTCCCTGGGCCACCCATTTGCTCCTCTATAGAAAAAGGATCATGCAGCCAAGTAAATATGATTTTGCTATTACCAATCAAAAGCTGCAGGCTGTTTTTAGCTTCACAATTATCTAGTGGTGAAATGGCTATTGCCTTACCTGCTTTAATTTCAGCTCTGTGAGTAGGGAAAAGGCTGGCAGACCTAGGTAATGTCCTTCTAAGAAACAACAGCCCTTAGAATTAACTGAGACTGTGGGAGGCTTTTGTGCAACTTTCAAGTGTTTGCTGAGAACCAATCAGAAAGAAGCAGGCTGTGAAAAGAAACAATAAAATTCATCCCACGCAAATCCTGAACTGAGGTTGAAAAACCCTGGTTTTTCTGGTTTTTTTTTACAAGGAGTCACACAGGATGGGTACAAGTCACTCCTGGGATTCTGATTGGACGCAATAGGAAAATTTTTCACATTTAGAACAATCAGCCATTGGAATAATCTCCCCAGGGAATCATAGAATCATAGAATGGTTTGGGTTGGAAGGGACCTTAAAGGTCATCTAGTTCCACCCCCCCCCTGCCATGGGCAGGGATTTGAGTAGATTGCTCAAAGGCCTATCCAGCCTGGCCTTGAACACTGCCAGGGATGGGGCAGCCACAACTTCCCTTTCCTTCTTCTCTTTCCAGAAATATTAATGAAGCTTTTCTGTATTAATTAGGTAATTTTACATGTATCTGAATGGAACAATAGGAACTTTTAAACCACTAATGCCTGATGAGCCTTCCAGGTACAGCATAACACACTGTTATTCCCAGAATCACACATCTAAGCTGGCAGACAAGAAGGCTACACGGGAAAGATAGGGTTTATTTCAGTTAATAAGATCTCATGAATTATTAGTCCTTTGTGCTTATTTTAAGAGTTAATGTTTCTTATGCGTTAGAAGAAGAAGTAACAGAGAAACATGCTCTATAACTGCAGGCAGCTGGACATATATCCCACTGATTCAGACCTGACCTGTGGGGTGAATTCCCAGCCTGACCAGAGCCCCGCTTCACCATGATGGACTCATCTGAAGACCACCCCTAAGCCTTCCCTGCTCCTCCACTGGCGGGCAGTGGGACAGGGCCCTGGTCTGCGTGGACACTGCCTTGTCCAGCCTCACTGCCACCCTCTGCTCTTGGCTTGCGTCCCCCATGGGGCAGCCAGCCCTTACTGCTCCCAAACAAGATTATTCAACCAATGAAGTTAACAGGTGAGAGATTTAATAGAAACAAAAGGAAGCACATTTTAAAAAACTTAGCCACAGTGCATTACAAAAAACGAAGGTATAAAAAAACCGGCTTAGAAATAAGTTTTTGAGCACAGGAGCATTAGCAGTTATTAAATATGATGACCTATGTGCAATCTCAAACCAAGAAACGAGCTGACCACAAGACACAAGTGAGAAGATCACATGTATTGCCCACAGAGCTGGTCCTAGCTGATGTCAGAGCACAACATGAGCTGATGTGGACCTAGACAGACCTTTATGAAAGCTCCTGTGTTTCATGTCTCTGACAGCTGTGGTGGAACTAATAATGCCATTCCTCTAACAAGGCAACTCCTAAGGCTTGTATCTGTCAGCCAGGAAGTCAAGTTTCAACTTTCTGAACTACTTTACCTGCACAAATCTGATCCTGGAAGGTACTGGGAAAACCGTGAATGAAGAAGTGGAATTAATCGGAGATCACACCACCTTTTTTCCCACCTAAGTCCTGGGGATGCTGGCCATGAGGAACATGATAATGTATCCTGAAAAACACCAAAAGGTCCTTCTCAGTTTTGGGCTTCATTATAAGTACTCAGCAGATTTGGAAAGAGAAAGATAGACTTTTTTAAATTTGGCATTGTGTTCTACTTTCCTCAGATCGTTTGGCATCAGTTTTACTTAGCACTGGAGAGATTCTGAACTTTTTCTCACACACAAAACAAATCTATATAAACCTCACCATCAATATGGTTAGAGTGAGTGTGAGGAACAGTATTCTAAAACTCTAGGGAAAACAGATTGTGTCCTTTTATTGAAATGACCAGTCATGAATAAAAGTGAATATTTACTGCATATCACATCATCAGCCACTAGTTTTATACCTGTACTCTGAATAAAGATGATCTCTAAATTATTCACTCTACAACCATAATTCAGTTATTTCCTGTCGGCCCATACACATTGATATGTATGGCTATTCTAATGACATCACATCAAAACCCAGCAATTGTGAATGGGATTTAACATGTGATGAAAATTGTTTAGTCAAAACTACATGCTTAGGATGAATATTTTACCTATTTACACAGTACATTAATTATATGAAAATTTAACTTTATCACATCTATGATCTTATCTACAAAAAATAAATCCCTACAGTCTAATTTCACCATCTTCTTTACAGAATATAGACTTGGCTGAGAAATGCTTATAAAAGTGAAATGATCAATAATTCTTTTAAAAAATCCAACAGCTCTTCCTTTCATTATAAAATGTTTTACCAAACACTGCAAGTGATGATATTTTCATGCAAAGCAGCATGATTCTCACTGAAAGGTATGTAGTACTTTCACTGTATCAGTAGAATTGTACCTGCTGATCCTGAAGACTTCATATTTTTTTCTAACCTGTATCTTCTATAAAAAAATACTACAAAAATTAAGTACACCTTGTATTTTTTAGAGTGTGTTTTTTGTGCAAGATCTATGTAATTATAAAGCATTGCCAACTTGAACTTTACTCTTACTTATATATTCATATATCTTTTATGCATACAAAAGAAAAGATCAGTATGAACATTAATTTAGCTGAACAGTAGACTTTTCATAAGTAGATTCACTTATTTAAAACATTGACTCTCTGGCGAAACATTCCATAGATTCAATCCAAAGAACTAAATGATTGGCTAGGAAGACTAAGCTAGGATGTTGTTTTAAACATAGTTTTGAATTTTTAACCTTTTCTATCTGCTTTCAGGAACTTTTTTTAGCTGTGATTTAAATTGAGGAAAAAGCTGAAATGTGGCAAAAAGTTTATATGCAAACTGTAGGCCTAGATCTGTCTGCAACAGAAATACTCCCCATACATTTAGCCTGCATAATCCCGAATTATTGAAAATGACCAAAACCAGTCCTGTCTGCTCCAAATTCTGAGTCAAAAGCCTCCTTCATGTGAATCACCAAGGTTATAAATTAAGAAATAGTCATAATGCATTCTAGAGAATATTCTGAGAAAAAAGGACCATGACATAAGAGTTGTACATAATTTAGGAAATCATACAGACGTCTCATTTTGTTTTATGAAGCACTCTATTCGCATTACAAGGGGACATCTGAGATAAGAACCACATCCTGGTCTTCAGCAGAAGAATTTAATTTAGGGTGAATTATAGACTCATGATGCCTCATTATATTATTTAAACTGAGAGAGAAAGATGTGGTTTCAGTAAATCATTATCAGTTCAAATAGAAACTGCAGCTAATTTAGATCAGTTTTGATAGCTGCAGAAATAAGATTCACAAATGGAAGCATGGTTTTTATCCTAAAAGCAAAGTTAGAAATGAAGTGGCCAGCAAATAGCAACAGCCTTTCTACACGCACACATATAGAGACCGTTGAGATAAGCCTGCTTCTGATGTTGCACTAGGTATACATACATATTATATTTTTTGACCTGCATTAAGACACCAATTTTATTGGTTTTATCCAATTTTTATAAATTCCAGCTCCCATGAAAGTGTATAAAACCTAGCAGTTTTCCAGATCAGGCTTAAAATCTGTACTATTGACTTTTAAGTCTACTTCGATCAGGCTTAAAATCTGTACTATTGACTTTAGCAAAGTCTACTTTAGCAAAGTCTTCTGAACAATCCTTACATTTCTCTTTTTTTAAATATATATTTGTAATAATTATGTGATATATGGTTTATTCATTCAGTGCTTTTTATTTTATCTCAGTATTTTCACCTATCACAAAGCCAAATATGCAGCAAAACCCTTTTAGAACTACATAAAACAATGCAAAATTTGCATTTTTCTGGCTAAGAAAATTGTTGAAAGCCCCTTGTTGCACTTCAAAGGCATCTTTTACTAAAAATCTGGTCAGACATCTGCAGCATTTAATCCTAAACAGACTTTGCTCCATAATGCTATCATTCTTTAGCAAGATATTAAGTTATTACAAGTAAAATGCTCTCACCTTATAAAGAGGCAAAAACATGAATCTAAACCATCCTTTGCAAAAAGTTTCAGATAATAAATGAAATAAAAATAATGGAAAAATATTCTGAAAAAAAGGTATTCTACCTTTTCTTTAGATATATGTGCTGGTTTTGGCTGGGATGGAGTCAATTTTCTTCCTAGTAGCAAGCGTGGGGTTCTGTTTTGGAATTGTGATGAAAACAGTGTTGACAACACAGGGATGTTCTCATTATTGCTGAGCAGCGCTTAGACAGAGTCAAGGCCTTTTCTGCTCCTCACACCGCCCTGCCAGCAAGTAGGCCAGGATTGCACAAGATGTTGGGAGGGGACACAGCCAGGACAGCAGACCCCAACTGACCAAGGGGATATTCTACACCATATGACATCATACTCATAAAGGTGTTGGAAGAAGGAAAAGGGAGACATTCGGAGTTATGGCATTTGTCTTCCCAAGTAACCATTACACGTGATGGAGCCCTGCTTTCCTGGGGATGGCTGAACACCTGCCTGCTGGTCTATCTCAACCCACGAGTTTTCTCACTTTGACTCTTCCAGTTCTCTCTGCCATCCAACCAGGAGGTAGTGATAGAGCAGCTGTGTGGTGCCTAGTTGCTGGCTGGGATTAAACCACGACGATATTTTTTTCATTTGAATAATTTTAATTCCTATTCTGTAGAAATAATCTTTCACAAAATCCCTATTGCCCAGATAAAAATAGTAATCCCATCTATCCAGGCACAATCTCAATTGGTATAATTTATCATAGTTTAATTTGCAGCCACAATACCTGGCAGCTCTTTTTGCCCCTATGGAACTGCCTGTCTCCAATGTTAATTAGAGCTCCTTCCATGTTTCTGTCCTTTATTAATTACATCCACTTAGAAATTATAATATTTTTATTCTTCTTTGAAATTCCATCAAAGAAACATAAGCTCTTACCGTGTTGTTGGGATGGTAGTTGAGATGCAAACCACTGTCACATAGGGGAGAGGATGTGCCACTGCTTTGGTCACTGGGGGCACCTAATAAAAAAATGATTACACAAAAAAAATCTTCATTAACCTATAATGCTATAATTCAAATTTGTGTACGTCTGTATGTATGTATTCCCCTTCCCCCACTAGTTTTGTCAAGTCTGACATTCATTTACTTTCCCTGTTCAGTGTCGGCTTCTGATTTGAGCAGGGTAACTTTTCAAGCTGAGTGGAGTCTCAAGAATGTCTCCTCTGGTGCTTTGCTTAAGAGAGTTAATAATCTCTTTAGTAAGAAAAAACACCCAAAGGTTTTTGCAAATTTGGTAGTAAAAAGAAAGTGTGTACCTCCTCGCTTAGTTTTCACATAAAGGAAAAAGTCAGATAATGCTTTTGTTTGTCTTGATGAACTACAGTTCGAACTACTACAGTTTGAACTGTTCTTGTAACAGTTTAGGAAATTACACCTCAAAAGTAACATGATAGGACTGATGCAAATGCACGTTTGTGTGCATTATTCAGGATACTCTGCGGTAGCACAACCTGTCATAAAAGGGACAAATGTACTGGGATGAATTTTTATTTAAGGATATGGTATTCTGATTTTTTTCTTGTCTCACTAAAATTTAACACCTAGGCAAAAGACAAAGACAGTATTTCAGCAAAAGACTGTATAAAATATTATTTCATAATTTATTTTATTTTGTTCTTACTAGCTTAAAAGAATAAAAACATTGAAATAAAACATTTATTGTTTTGTTGCTTAAAAATTAAGCAATTCATTTTACCCTCGTAGGAGCAAGAAGCAGAAGCAAAGCAGTAGTGACAAAAGGCTGACATATAAATATGCTTAGATATGCTGCAACTGTCTATAATTATGCACCCACACTTACAATTTAATATAATTAAAGGAAGACAGCTGCCTCCATATGTCTCTCACGGGGCTAGTTGACTAAAACTTGGTTGGACTTAAACAAAATTCTAATTATCCCAGAGTAATTTATTTTTAGGTAGACAGACACCTCCACCAAATCCTCTGAATTTTAAATGGTAAAGTTAAGCCCTCTAAATATACACACACAATCTCATTTTCACATTTACAAGACAAAAATCTTTCCGACCAAAACATTACCTGATGCTGCCTGGAAAACCTCTTTCAAATGCTCTGCATCAGGATGTGAGCTACTGTAAATTAATGCAATCTCACCGTTTTACCTGCAACTTTGCTGATTCACACCAGCCAAATGCCTGGTGGTTTTCAAGCAAAGATAGCAATTTTTCGCTTAAGGTAAATATTAGTACCAGACCTGGCAATACAAACAGCTGATATTCAGGCAGCAATGCTGACCGGAAAAGCTGCTGTCAATCACCCTCAATGCACAGTATGTTCGGAAGCTGCAAACATTCATGAGCATTGAACTGAGTTTTCTTTTGGCCAAGTAATAAAGGCTTACATGCACAATCTTCATTCAGTGGCAGTTTGAGAAAAGCAGGTGCTCTTTTCAGAAAGGACACAGTTAGGGTCACTTCTTCCCCTGCGTTGCGAAGGACCTGAACCTGGAAATGAAACACAGACAGGACACCTTGAAGTAGCTGTAAGACCCAAATTCATCAGCAAATGTAAGCAACACCACCCAGCTTTCACACACTGGAACAGAACTGCTTAGCAATTTATTGCAATTACTTTTTTTTTTTAAAAAAAAGAGAGCAAGATGTAAAGCTTGTTATATGCTGGCCTGTTGTGTTTCTAGGCACACACAGACCTGGGGGAGTGGGCATTGGCCTCCTATAATAGCACTGGCTTTGCACTGTGCTATGGCCCAACTTGCTCCCCAACCCTGTTCAGCTGTGCATCTCCTTCTTTCAGATCTGGCATCATCCACACTAGCATGTATGTATAACAAAACAAACCCCAACCAACTTTCCTCTTCATCCTCCCCTAGGGTTGCTTCATAAGTCTCCAACCAAACCCACTGGCAGTAGTTTCCACAGCTGTGCCACAAACCCTAGGAGTAAGTCTCTCCAACAGCCAGAGTTAAATTTAGACAAAGCACTCCAGCATGGATGAAAGACCTAATCTTCCTTACAGCAACAGAGGAAAAATACCTTATTTTTAAGCCTTAAGTCCTAGATGAGCAAGCTTGGGTTTTGCCAAAGGGTAGCTCGCATTTTGGACATAGGCATGCAGGAATGCGCAAATCACCTATCCACCTGAGTACACTTTCAGCCTTCCTGTACCCTCCCACAATCCCTTCTGCAGCTCTTGTTCATGTCTTTAGCTTCTGTGTGGTACTGCTGATAGACACCTCAAGACAAACAGCAGAGAAAGGGAATCCCAGGCACCTCCCCAGGGCGGGCGGCACAAAGGAGGTGCAAAAGCAACTAAACAAAACGCTATCCTTAACAACGGAGGAATAACATTTGAAGCATTTTATAATATGAGAGCCAAAAAAGCATCAGGTCACATAACTCTGTTTCCAGAGAACAACCATTTCCTGTTCTTCTGGCTCTATAACTTCAAAACTCTTCAAGGGCTGATTTAATTTGGGCTTACAAAGGCAGAAGATTGCACCATTCCTCTCTCTGAGTCACTGCACTCACACTGTGCAGAGAGCCAGCTTGCTGGGAGCAGAGTTCGGAGGGCTGCTACACAGTGACATGTCAGACAAATGTTTTAAACTAGCATATATCTGTTCCCTTTCTTCTGTGGTTTTGTGGTAGCTGGATAGTAGATGAGCAAGCTTGGGTTTTGCCAAAGGGGAGCTCGCATTTTGGACATCGGAATGCAGGAATGTGCAAATCACCTATCCACCTGAGTACACTTTCAGCCTTCCTCTACCCTCTCACGATCCCTTCTGCAGCTCTTGTTCTCACTCAAGTAACCCTTCTGTCACGCTGCTGCTTGTGAGAAAGCCTTGTAAATAATTTATGGAGTGGAGGATTGCTGTTCTTTAATCTGTGCCTATCAACAACCTATCCTACAGAATTAGTAACATGCATGTAACCAACTACATGCAGGGATGCTTTCAAACGGAATCACTAAAGGAATTCTTCAAGGAAAAAATGTCGACTTTGCTTTTAAACACAATACTTCCTACTCCACACCGGTTGAAACACAGGAGTAACAGTATCATGATAGAATATTTGATTCAGTGTCTGAAATCCACTCTGAAATTCTAGTCTCTTCGTTGTTTAAAATACCACAGTGGTTGTCACGGCAGTTTGCAATGTAGTGTGTATTTATATGTATGTACGATAAACAAACACAAACACACAAATCACAACAAATCTCGTCAACCTAAAACTGCATGCCAAAAACTTCATGTCTAACATGAGCGTCTTCGACACGTGCTTCCCAGTTCTGATATGTTTTATACCTTAGAATTCATCAGCAGTACTTATTTCATAGAAAGAAGATGATTTGTAATCTATGGAACAGCAGATCAAGACTCTGAAGTCACTAATTCCTTCAGAGAAACCATACCATATCCTCAGCCTTCTTCGAAAATTCATCCTTTTCTTCTCATACATAGGAGTCACATTGTTCAGAATAGCCATAGCCAAAGCAGAAACTTACAGGCATACATACTCTATTGAAATTACAGATGTGGACAGACAAAAAGTACAGGAAAAATACGGGTACCCTCTGCCTTTCTAAAAACACTTCTTTTTACCCAGGAATGGGGAAGAAATAAGTTGAGAAGTTACAGCACTGACAACTTTAATTTGTATAACGTCACCTTTTAAGATACCTAAGTGGATATCATTTGTGAAAGAAGCTGAGACAGTAAACTCTGCCCCTGAATCTTTCTTCTTCCAAGAATAAAAAAAAAGCCACAAGTCTACATGATTTCATTTGATAATATATTGTTCTGTAAAGGATAGAAGTTGCCATAAGTAGTCTACTGTGACCTTGTTCCTTAAACTCTCCCTCTCTCTCAAACCATTTTTATCTCATAGGATGAAAAAATTAAGCTGGAACACAATTTTGTTGAAATCAGCAATACTTATTTTATGGAAGGGTATGACTAGATTTTGCCATGTAGAATAAAGAGTAAAGAGAGATAAAAGACTGAAAAAGAAAACTACTAGGTAATGATTACAAGAAAGAGTAGACAAGCTATCGATCCCATTTCACTTACTTTGTAGTCATTAACAGAGCCATTCCAGGAAATAAGGTTAGCTGAGGAAAATGGGATTTTTAATTAAATTTATTAATTGTCTCTTTTTAGCTTTCAGTTGAAAGCTTTACTGTTATTTTACTTTTTTTTGGGTCTTTATTTTCCATAACAAATGAACAATTACCGAATTCTTTTAAATGGAGAAATCCTTATAGGATTCATTTATTTTGCGTTCTCATTCAACACGTACAGCACGCCATAGTGCTGCTCTTCCACGCAGAGAGAGAACGAGGTACAAAATGATTTTAGTGGAATACCAGAGCAGCTCACATTCATGAATGGAAAATTGATAGTTTTTACAAAATAAAAAGGTAACAGCCAAAAGTAATGTGACAAATTGTTATGGAGAGTTATGTCTATGAAAAACAACAACAAAAAACCCAGAAACAAACACCTGAAAACAGGGTGTCAAACAGTTTTTCTGGAACATATAACACAGGATGAATTTCTAGAGTTTTAAAACATGAGTGGAATTCTACCAATAATCAGATATACCAGTATATTAATCATTTCGTTTCTCTTTCTCACTTCCTAACATCAGTTTAGCTCAAAACTTTAGAGAGCTATTTTGGTAAAATGAGGACTGTGTGAAGGTATGTATTGCTTGTTCAGGCTTGGAAAATGTACACTCATGAAAAACTAATTTATCTGCACAAGTATGTCCATGTAGACCTGAAGAATTGGTAGCATACTCCACCAACATAGCAGTTGTTTTACCACTGAAGTCAGTTAATGAACATACTGAAGAAACCAGTTGTCATACATGATAGATTTTTTAGATAAAGAAATGGATAGATGTCTGCTCAGTCATCCTGCTCTCTTACTTAGAAGAAAGGTCCCTCGTTTATTGGTCATATATTGCCAATACTTTGCCAATCAAGCACTATCAATGACAACATACATCTTCATTATTTCTGGCAGTGATAATTCTAGAAATATTTCAAGGTTACTTTCAAATATAAGAGGGAAGTAGACTAAATATTTCATATGTCTTTTTCAGAGTTATAGCATATTTTCTGATTTATAAGGAAACCTTAGAGCTAGGTTAATCAGAGTAACCTCGAGATTTTTTTGCCAGCACAGTCACATAGTCTATGCCTGATAAAAATGACTGAAGACTAAAAAGCTAGGGACTATTTTCTACTTCCTGCCAACAATGAAGCTCTCTTAAGAATTTGCAGTCACTCAGAAGACTTTCAGGATTTTTCTAATTTTGCAAAGTCTACTTCCATATTTTGATATATCTACATTAAATTCCTTAAATTCCTGATGCGTTAGCCCACAAATTAGGAAAAGGTGGGGTTTGGTCTGGTTTTTGTTTTCTCCTATTCATTGTGAGGATCTTGATTTATTGAAGGTCAAACAGTGGCATTAAACTAGTGTCACATTTTTTTCTGTAGATTAAAAAAACAACAGGTCACTGGAAAAAAGTATGCTAATTTTATTCCATCCCCACTATCCCCACTTCTTATTCTAAATGTTTCTGAACATTGCAAAAATAAATTTTACTAAAGATACTGCATACAATTGCTGATTGATCACTGATTTCCATGATGATCCCATCAGTCACAAAAATATTCCAACACTGAGTAGAACTAACATTTCTCATCTTGTTAAAATTAGTTATTTACTTGATGAGTGACTGGTGCATAATTAATTGCTTTATTTTAAAATACAAAGTGGCTAGATTAAGAAATAGTGTTTTAGTGTTTCTATAATAACTGCACAATCAAATTGCCAAAGATAACAATTCTTATTAGTTCTAGAATAGAAGTAGACCCTCATTCTCACTGTGTATAAATGGTAAAAAAAAATTTCAATATTAACAAAATGTAGCTGTATAAGTAAGAGATTTTCAGTTCATTACTGCTAATAGAGAAGTAATTTCTAAACTTACATAAAATAAAGGCATTTAAAACATTGCCCTAGTATGTGAACAGATAGAAACAGACCTAAATTCTAAAAAGCGAAAAGAAACATATTCAGGAATACTGATTTTTGAATAAATATAGAAACATTATTTTAAAATTTTCAAAACAAAAATACAGCAACTTCCTAAGATGTATTTTTTATCATATATAAAAAGTTTAGTTAAGGGGAGATAAATTCATAGTGCTAAATCCATGGAATATTTGATAAAAATTTAATTCAGTAGTAGTCCTAACATTTCCAAAGTCTAACAAAATTAAGCCACGGATCTAACAAATCTAACGCATCTAACAAATAAGCCACGGAAAAAACTCCCTTTGGAAGAGATTTGCATGTCTATGCATTTGACCCCATAATTTCTAAAGCACTGCATCCCAGATTGCAGAAAATGCATGACCAAGCACCATTAAAAAGTTGTGCTTATTCTCTGTATCATTCAAAGGTTGT